CCGAAGACAGACGGACTTTAATAACACTTAACAGAATGATGCACATTAATGATCTCAGAAAGCACTTCTTATGCCTCATCCATCATGTGGGGGAGAGAATGAAGCCTTCGACAGCATTAGGAATTATTCTAGATCTTGTCAGTAATTCGCAGCTTCTCTGTAGTATCCTAACACAAATTTGTGTGTATGAGACACTGACCATTAATCTAAGGGCTTTTTTTTCCATTCACCACAGCGTGTGGAGAATGTATCAATTGTTTCATGGAGAAATTTCACATATGAAACCATACTAAACAAAACAGGAAAAAGATCCAATATATAGCTACAGCAATAAAGAAAAAGAATGAAAAAGAAAGATTTGTGATTAAAAACAAAAACATAGTATTTCTGCATCACAACTACAAACGTCCTGAACTGGAGATAGCCAGAATGTGCATGGATTTTAAAAGTTGTTTAAGTTCCCATACAGAGACATTCTTACATTTAATTTGGTGAGTGTGTTCCCTCCTCCTTTTATTTCAGTATAAAAAAGATCTGGAATTTCTTCTCAAAGATCATGCATTTTTAGCCATAGGAGCAAAGCACATTTCAATTTGAAACCCCATACGATTAAACAAACAATATCTTTTGGCAACATTTTCCTTAAAATGAAATCTGCCGTTAATGGCATGATGGTCATTTCAACTGGAATCTCTACTACAAAGGAAAAGATCCATAAATATTTGTACAACAAACTCTTTCTGGAAAAAAAAAATCCCTCTGAGTACACTCCAAATTGATTTCTATACACGCAACATAGAGACTAAAGCTAGCTGGCTGTATGTAGTTTATGACAAATTAACACTGTCTGGCTTCCAAAAGTCACACACACACCAAACAGATGTATTTGTACACATATATGATAGAAGCTCAACAACAAAAATGCTTGTCAGACAGAATGAGGTGAATTCTTTTCTAAAGGTGAAGGAACTGAACTGTCCCCAAAGTGGGGGGGAGAAAGAGGTTAAAAGAATTTGGCCAAATACTAATCAAACAATAATAATCAGAATTCAAAATACTTCTAAGTTCTAAAAGCATTCATTATTTTATGTTACTTGAAATATGACATATAACCAAAAAGTACTCAAAGGAACTTGGTTTTATACAGCAGATGCTGTGATTGCTGTGTAAATGTAGGATTAGATCCAATCTCTCATCTTCCACAATCAAATAATATAATTTTGGTTTTACTTACTGCACATGTATTTGTATATAAATAGCATGACAAATAAAGTCCACAGTGCTTTGTTTAGAATTTTTTACTTTACAAATATTGGGAAATGCTTTGATCGTCCGAGGTAATAGGCACAAACTCCAGATTATAAACTTGTTGGAAAGTACCAACACCCATGCAAGTCTTTTAAACCCCCTGACAAAACCAGGAAATTAGAAGTCCAACCAGTGAGCATCAACAGGGGCTATAAGAGCTGGACTGATATATAAACCGTGCATGATGCTCATGTCATGAGTGAATGAAACATGAGTGGAAATTGAGGTTTTCACAAAATAAAGAAGAGTTAATGTTGCATCCCTAACATTTGTTCGAACTGCTCGGATTCATTCTTTCCTCCTGTTTTATATCCCCCCAGAATGATATCAAATTTTTGTTTCCCTGTTTCACATTTCTTTACATATGTTTGAAAAATTACAAAATAAAACCAATATGCAGATTAGGGGAGAGACGGTTCTAATACCATCTGTATTAACAGCCTACAGTCACTGCTTTAAAAACAAGATTTTTTAAAAATTATGTTGTTCCTGCTACAGTATCTAGTTTACTTTTTTTCATTTATTTTTCACGGGCAAAATGTAAATAATATTTTCCAATATAAAATTATCTAAAAGCTTTAAATTTCACTTTATCTAATTAAACCACAAAGATATAGCAATTAGAGTCACCTCACCCACAGCAACTACATAAACTTCTAGGAATGGGCATAGGGAGAACGAAAGAAAAAATGTTTGTGTTTCAATTATTCCAATGCGTAACCTGAAATGGATAACAAAAGAACCTGGCACAAATATATATGTTTATATAGTGCACTGCTGGTAAAACATACCAAATAAAGTGCAGCAGATTATTTTAAAAATAGTTTCTCCTTAACTCCCAATACATTTAATATGATCTGGAAAACTAAATTTAACTAGAAACACATTCTACCCATAGAACCTCTCTTTATAGTACAGTAAAGTGCAGCCAGATTTCCGTAAAAAAAACTAAACAAACAACAAAAATCCCCTAACCCTCTGCTGTCTCTCTGCAAGTCTGCAAGCTCTCCAGTGCTGAGATAAAGACCCAATCTGCTCATCAAACACCTCCGGGCTCGGCCATCTAATAGGAACAAATTGGCAATGACTGCCCAAGCAAGTAACACAGGCCCACTGATTTGTAGATTGATACTGATGCCTAATGATCCCCTTGGGCAGATCAATAGCAACAATCCTCATCCCTGCCTTTCTTCTTTATTGGCACAGAAGACTTAGGCGAAGAGAAAGCAGTACATATACATGCATAGCACTTCAGGTGCACAGAGAGACAGAAAGAACAAGAATACACATGTTCATATATGATATAAAGCTGTAAAATCTGATCAAAATTTCCCCTGAAAGGGGGCCAAAGAGACAAGGCAGGCATGCAATTTTATTTGCCATAAGAGGTATAAACAGTGTTGGTAAATCTGTCTTTTTACATGATATTAACAGTAGCTGCTGAATTTGGGGGACTTCAGCACACAATGTAGGTGAAATAAGCTCATGCTGAAACAGCTTTCTACTGGCACCTTTGTTTGTGATATACAGGATTAACAGTGACTTTATACAACTGGCCCAAGGTTCTGCAAATTCAGAACACATGAATAATGAGATTAGCAGAACAAAAACTAACATTTATCAGAACTGCATAAAAAAGTCATTGAGTTTTGTGAGAACTCAAAGGCGGCACAAGAATTTAAGTATTGCCAAGATCAAGAAGGTAGTGATGACAGCCACTGTTCTAGCCATAGAGAATTTGGACAGGTGGGTTTATCTTGTGCATTGTTATAACAGGGTTATACACCAGTCTTGCTGCACTAGCCTTTTTGCTTCTCTACTTTCCGTTGTCTCGTTGTCTCTTAGCCTACTATGTTATGATCAATCAGGTAATTTCTATGCAGGATTTTTATTCAACTCCCTCCCCCCAAGAGTTAGATATTCTTTTCTGTTTATTTAGTATTCTAGTGAATACAATTGTCCAATTAGTATATCCCTTTAAAATCTCCCGTAATACCTAAGGAAAACTAATGGAGTGGTCTTGGATTTTCTTTTTCAATGAATTAACTTTAGTGATATTCTGTTGACTTGTAAATGGTCATTTACAGCATCAAGGTTATTGGCAGGCATCACAATCAGTACTAAACTTCTGTATGCCACACACACCCCACCCTCCATCTCGCTTTCTCTCCGGATACACATATTTATTTTGTCAAGTATCAGGGGGTAGCTGTGTTAGTCAGTATCCACAAAAACAACAAGGAGTCCAGTGGCACCTTAAAGACTAACAGATTTATTTGAGCACAAGCTTTCGTGGGTAAAAACCGAAGAAGTGAGGTATTTACCCACGAAAGCTTATGCTCAAATAAATCTGTTAGTCTTTAAGGTGCCACCGGAGTTATCTTTATTTTGAACAGACATCAGGTATATACTGATTATCAGAAAAACGAGCATATCTGCAGAAAAAAATTAATTTGAATTCTATGAGAATAGTTCCAGTATACTGCATATTTTAATCTCTTTTAGTTACATTTTTCTGTTGGTTACATTGAAATGCTCTCAGCCCTCTAACTATCTTTACACTTTTCAGGGCTTTTGTCCAAAACAGTAATACCACAGAGAAAATATTCACAATTTTTAAATCACACTCAGACCCCAAACTAACTGCCTGAGAATCTGCTTTGTTCAGCAGTCGTTGTGGTAGTGTTATGCTATAGAGCTGTTTTATTAAAATGTGGATAAAGCAAAACAAAAGATAAAAATCAAATTTCATTGACTGTAAATAGCTAAACCATCCCTCCAATGAAAGATTTTCTTTTAATAACAAAAATGTCTTTGATCTTTTTGTATATTTACAATAAAAAACAGAACTGCATTAGGAATCTAAGTAATTCAACCCACTGTATTTCATAAATTAATAATCTTTTGAATCCTACATGCTGTCTTTTTGAACATGAGAAAGTTAAATTCTTGTAGTAAGATTTACCCTGCTGCTTGAAACATGCATGCACACCAAATATCCAGCACTGACCACTTTAAAATTTAAATTTCACACTAATGATCAGTATAATCATTGCAATCATCATCATCATAACAATAAGAAGATGCACCCTGTTAGCCCCTGACATCAATCAACGTGTGGTGAAAAATCAGAACCCTTCCTCGCTCTCCCCCGCTCGCTCGCTCTCTCCACACACAAACCCTCCCCCTCCCCAACCCGGTTGCTCACAGAAGTGATCACATTTAATTCATTGCATTATTATGTCATCTCCATACTAATCTCGGCCCTCACACCTCCACCACTTTGACATGCAAATGAGCTAGAAAAAAGGCACACATTAATATAAAAAAGTCACAGCAATCATGTCATGATTCCATGCCTTCCAGCCCCACAACACTCCCCCCATGTCACCCCCCCCCATCTCTCTCTCCAGCACGCAGTGCTGGTGATCACAAGAAACAACAGCAATCTGTTGAAGATCAGACGCTAAGACAGGGAGGTGGGGAGAAGGATACAACACATACACGTGTCAGCAACGCAGCCCAGCCAGCCCTATTTGCATATTCACATGAGTTCTATGCTCAGATTGCTTAAACAGTAAAGAAGTTAGGTGTCTTCCCCACCCACCTCCCCTCCCCGCTCCATAAAGAAACAGCAATTTATAACCAAAAAGGGGGTGGGGGGGAGAAAGGGTAAGCTCCAACTGCCTTACCTCAGCTGGCTCGCTTTCTGTTGCTCTTAAAAGGAATTCCCTGTGGTTCCTTTCGAATTTTTGAGAACCATCCTTCAGGGTTTTTAGTTTTCTCTTTCTCTCTCTTCCTCCTCCTCCTCTTTCTGTGTTGTGACTGGGTTTATAAAAAAAATAAAAAAGACAACTCCATGTTAAGCTAGCAGTCAAGGCATCATGAAGTCTAGGGCTGCAGGGGGAGGGAAAAGAGGAGGGGAGGGTCACAGCTTAATGCTTTACAAAAGGGAACCCAAAGCCTGTATATATATATTTTTAAATACCATACACAAAACACTGAGATGCACACGGGTGTGTCGATATAGCCCATGTGTGTGTGTTACAGATCATCACCCCAAAGACGTGGATACTGTTCACCCCCCCCCCCGATGCAAATAAATACAGTGACATCCTGAGTTAATCTGGAAACTCTGTTCTTAACCTACCCTGTTGTTTTAGGGCATGGGTATCCACGCAGCCATGGATTTTACATACCATATACTATTTGCAGCATTTGTGTATAATGGTTAAGGATGTAGGTTCAGCCTTAACTATGAATTTCTGGCTCTGGGGTGTTGCCACTAAAACATCAGTGTTATTTAAACTATTTTTATGCCAGTGATTTTTTTATTTAATTTTTCTAACAATAATAAACAGAAAAACGCATCTAACCTGCAAACGTAACAAAACAACAGCTCTCTGTTTATGGGACTGAATAAATACGTGTGCAGGCCTATTGTTTTAAAAGGCACAGCTTTTGTTATCCAGTTTGATACACACAGTATTTATCAATAGACTGTAATGGCTCCTCAGAAGTGAGACCATCCATTGCATCAAACCTACTGCCATGTGTGTAGATTAAATCCACCTTCTAAGAACCCTAAATTAAATGTTTGTTGGAAAATATCTCATGTATACGTGTAGTAGTAGTTCAAGAATTATCATTTGCATGAATTTTTGGGAGTTGCATTGCTTCAGAATACAAGTTATTAGATCAGATTATGGATTGATTGCTAAATTCCACTTTACAAACTGCACAAAAAACAAACTTTATTAAATATCCTCACACCGAGTAATTAGAAATGTCCAAATTTATTTTTGCAAATATGCTCCTAAAGTGAAACACTGTACATCGTGTTTCATCCCAGAGTGGATTTTATAGCCAAGTTATAAACCCCGAAGATATGTGCTTTCCAACAGAAATGCTGGAACATTAAATACATGTAGTCTAGGGCTATGAACAGTGCAGTTTTAATAATAAGTGTGTGTAAGCAAGAACAGACATACTGTGTGTGTGTATATTTGTCCAATAAATACATGCACACTGACAACTGTAAGTGAATGCAATGGTGGGACTACAAACAATAGAAGCCGGAAGGCAGGGAAGGAGTTGGCAGTCACACTGATGGAGAAGTTGGGGGGTGGGGTCAGTTGTTAACAATGGGTTAAGAAACAAGCTTTATTTTGGCATTTTGCTTTATTTGAAAGGGAGCTCTTGCCAGACACATATTCTTAGTAAAATTAATTTCTCTGCCTATGTGTCTCTTCTCCTCATTCAGAGAGACCGGGAAAAGCAGTGTTTTGTATTCACATCCAGTCTCCTAAGGAAAAAGGTAATTTTAAGAATCTGACCAGAGCCTGAGTTACTGTCCTCCACCCAAAACAGATGAAAAATATCTATGACAAGTCTGAGTCCCTGAAATAAAGAGAAAGAAAATAAAAATATCTAAAACATTCAACATAGAAGCATTATATTTCAATATTATCATATGAATTAAATGTAATCCTTGAAGCGACTAGTCCCAGGGGTCACATATTAGGCCATTTTTTCCTTTCTTTCTTTCTTATTTAATAGAGGTCATCCAGGCTGAAAAGCAAAACCCAAATGAAAAGCATCTTCAATGTGGTTATAACATGAGCTGCACGGGGTCAGGCAGTGTCTTGTATGGCCTCATAAAAAATACATAACCAGACAGCCTAATAGTATTTCTTTGCATTCATTTTTGGATGGGAACTGGCGGACAGAAGAGGGGGAAGGAAAAAGGATTGATGGAGGTAGGCACACATAAAAAAGAAACCTACATGCACATTTCCATAATGCAGAGCTTTTAGCAAATTTCTTCTTTTTGGGAAAAAGATTGTCATTCATTAAACAAGAGTCTTCAACTTGCTTGTGTAAAAAAACAAGTGTTTTACATTATTTCTATCATCTCTCAACACTGGAATAGCATTTGCTGTGTCTACATATGTATACATATATATATGTTCATGCATTCATTCAGGACAGTCATGCTTAATTGAATGTGCAACCATGTTGGGTTTTCTTGCATTAAACATTTTTTCTTGCAGTAGGTTATTTGTTCACACACAGGCACAACCAAAATTAATTTGAATGATTTCTCTTCTGAAAAGAAATACTGATGAAAAGCCCCAGTGACATGGTTTCTGCTTTAATTTGCTCTCATATGGGAGGGGTTTACTCAATGCACAGAATTTATGCAGGCTGCAAAGATGGACTGGGTAGGAGAGCGGGTGAGAAAGAGAGAGAGAATAAAAAAAGAGAGGGAATGGGTAACAAATAAAAATAAACAGCTCTAAAAATGCTTGTGAGATGAAAGAAGCTCTAAATGTGTTGCCACCTCCCTTCCCCCTCCTCCCCAAATATAGCCTGGAGATGAGTGACCCTGCTGAGGGGAGATGGAGCCACAGAGGTGACCCAATGCTAACCAGCCTGTTAGAACTAATAAGGTGTGCTCCTAAGCCACTCAACTGACATTAGGGCATTGTGGAAATAACTCTCCTTGTTATTGCCCATCCTCAGCTTGAAATTTACTACTCCTTTGCATTATTAAAGAGACAGCTTGCATTCACTCTGGGGGAGAAGATTTGGCAAGGATAAATAACTGTGCATGATTTTTTTAAATGTTATGTTTCTACTCACCATAGACTTGATATTGAGATTCTGAGCATTAATGCATCCTGAGTTAATAAGTTATTTATTATTTGAGCTGTTTTCTAAAATAAGATCTAGTTTAGAAAAATAAGATTTTTTTTCCACACTAAAATGGTAAGAAAATAGGCGATATTAGGAATGTTGTAAAAAGGGGTTATATGGGATCCAATAGCAGGCTTTGTGGAACCAAAGATGTGTTTTCAAAACATTTACTCAGTAGCATTGTTTATCATTTACATAAAAGAGCAGTCATGGGGCACTGCCACCCTGTAGCATCCCCTACTGGCTGAGCGTGGCATGGCTGGCAGGCACTCCCTGCCTCCGTTTCCCTGCCCAAGATGGGCATCCTCAGCTCTCCAGACACTGGCCTGTGCCAGAGATGTGGCTAAGCCTTCCAGCCAAATCACAAACCAAACTTAACCCCTTCTGGGGTAGCAAGAGTACAAACTAAGAAGTCCCAACAAAACAAAAAGTTCTTCTACCCTTTGGGGCTTCTCTTTTCTGTCCTGTGATTCTAGCCCCTTTCTGGGCTACTTTGAGAGTCTGTGTCCTGCTCTGAGCTAAAGCACAGCTCACAGCTCCCCTAGAATTCCCTTTCCCCTGCAGACCTTGCCCCAGAGCCTACCTGCTCCCTGTGGTTGCAACTTTCTTTTGCTATAGAGCACTGGCTCCTGGCTAGTCCCCCTGGAGTACCCTTTCCTCAGCAGACCCTGGCTCAGGGCCTTCCACAGGAGGCATTTCACTCCCAGAGCTTCTAATTGCCAGTCTTATCTCTGCCAGGTCTTTTATAGGGTCCAGGTGTTGATGAAGCTAATTAACCAACACCCCTCCAGGTAATTAACTACTCACAGGTGGATCCTTGTTGGCTTGTTCTCTTTAGTGGACTCTGTCAGAGGTAGGCTGGTCCCTGACTCTCCTGAAAAGGCCAGCCCCCACAACAAGCATCTTAGATCATGGTGTGTGAGGGATCTGGAGAAGAGATCTACTGCAAATTGCATCAATTCCTAGGAGAATCATGCATTCAGGGCATCAAAAAACTGGACACCTGCTGCATTCCTTTGGCCCTCATTTGACTATAAATAGCTGTGGGCATATGTCAGAGGTCTGCCCACAAACCAAACTCTTCCTCTCATCCAAGAAACTGAGTTCCCCCTATAAGATACACCAGATTGTGCAAATTTTCATAATATGATCTCCCTCCTTTTAATTGTGGGCTTCAATCATCAGCAAAATAGTTGACAATGGAGATAAAAGTCAACCCTCCAGCAAGCCAAAAGAATCATTCACTCCTCTCACAGCTATTATTTCAGGGTAGGTGTAGCTATCACTGCTTCACCTGTAAAGTGTCCACCTAATGAAATCTTTACAACCATAAGGGGTAGAGATTTTTTTAAAAGATAATTAATATTGAGCATTTCTATAGCCCTTTTTATCAGAAGTTGCAGAGCACTTACAAAGCAGCTCCTTATCATTATCCCCGCTTTGCAGATGGGAAACCAGAGGCACAATGCGGTGAAGTGACTTGCCCAAGATCACTCAGCAGGTCAGTGGCATGGCTGAGAACAGAACCCAGGTCTCCTGAGTCTATGACAGCCACCACGAAAAACAAAAAAACAAAACCAAAAAAACCCGGTTCACCAGGCTGCCACAAGCCAGCCCAATTTAACCACGGCACAGGTGGAATACTCTTAATTTGCTTGGGCTGGTAAATGCATCATAGTTCTTTCTAACGGATGCCTTTCCTGACATACACAAAGTCAAAAGAGTATGAGTAAAATACTACTGGGAAGTAAATGGAACATGTGCCCTGACAATGCAACGTAAACGGACAGTGCGGGAATGAAGAGAAGATTTCTGATCCACCACTGCCACCAGACCAACCTCTGTTCCTTAGTATCATTATATCAGACGTTACGCTAAAGCTCTAGAAGTGAGCATGTGTAAAACGTTCCTCCCCCTGAGTCAGGGGAAAGGGATCTGACCGATATGTCTTCAGAGCACCAGAAGTTCAACATAAAACTGAAGCTCTGAAGAAAAAGGACTGGAATCCTGTGGCTGGAAAGTACTTTCTGGTGCATAGACTAGTGAGTTGGCCCACTGGCTTACAGCATGATCATTCAAAATCTGCCCCAAATATTTAGTGCTTGAAAATTGCTCTTATTCCAGACT